TGGTCGCCCCTCCCTGCCCCCCTCTGCCGGCCTGGTCCCCCCCAACTGACCCCCTGCTGGCCTGGTCACCCCTCACTGCCCCCCCTCCCAGCCTGGTTGCCCCACACAGCCTGCTGTTTGGTCGTTTGGTCATCCCTCACTAACTCCCCTGCCAGCCTGGTCACCCCACGCAGCCTGCTATTCAGTTGTTTGGTCGTCCCTCACTAACCCCCCTGCCAGCCTGGTTGCCCCATGCAGCCTGCTGGTCGGTCATTTGGTTGCCCCTCACTGCCCCCCTGACAGCCTGGTCACTCCACGCAGCCTGCTGCTCAGTCATTTGGTCATCCCTCACTAACCCCCCTGCCGGCCTGGTCGCCCCACTCAGCCTATTCGGTCATCCTTTTGGTCGTCCTTTTGGTCATCCGTTCAGTTGCGATGGCCCCTGGCTCTTTATATATATATAGATATGCATAACCCATGTACATAGACAATAGGGTGATGAAGGCCTGGGGTGGTGGGTAGGGGTGGGCTAGAAGGAGTCAATGGGGAAAAAAAGGGGGATATATGTAATACTTTCAACAATAAAGTTAAAAATGGTTTTTTGCATTGAATTTAGAAATAAAATTTACATTTAAAAATAAATAAAAGTCGTTTTTTAATATTAAAGTATATATATGGTCACTTTAAATATTAAAGTATATATAAGGTCACTAAAGAAAACTTGGAAAGTATAGAAAAGTAAAGCAAAACAATCATAATTCCTACACACACACACACACACACACACACACACACTTAATATTTTAGTTTATTATTTCTAATCATTTTATTCCTCTGCACAGACTGCCCCCCCCCAAGTTATTTATAAATATGAGTAGATAGGAATGCCAGAGGTACCGTAAGTTCTCACAAAGAAAGATAACTGGCTGAGTATCAAGAGGCCTTGCTGGATGGCTTTACCTTGGTGTTTTCAACATTAATCTAGGCTGGGCCTTCAGTCATGCAGTCTTAGAAACTCAATCTCCTGTGGGGCCGGTGTGGCTCAATGGTTGAGTATCAACCTATGAACCAGGAGGTCACCTTTTGATTCCCAGTCAGGGCACATGCCCGGGTTACAGGCTCAATCCCCAGTATGGGGTGTGCAGGAGGGAGCCGATCAATGATTCTCTCTCATCATTGATGTTTCTCTCTCTCCCTCTCCCTCTCTGAAATCAATAAAAATATATATAATTTAAAAAAAGAAACTTAATCTCCTTAAGGTCCCAGAACTGGTCAAACTCAGGAGGCTGACTCATGCTAATTACTACACAAGAGAATGATATGTGAATAATGAGAAATGAGAAATCGAATTGTGGCAGTTACACTGTACCTACTATTGTGCAGATTGACTTATTCACCCAAAATTATGTTATGGTGGCCTTTGTGTTTTGTTGGCAGTTTCTTTTGCTGTGTAGTATTAGGGTCACTGAAGGAAGAACACACGAGGCCAAGTGGTAAGGGATTTTAAATTTATTAGGTCATCTGGATACCAGATGGGCTGAGCCCAAGAAATGGTGTCAGCACCCAGGGACAGGGAGTCAGAGATATTAAAGCACTGTAGGCAGGCTTTTTCTGGGTGAAGAATTCTCTGGGCGGATCCTGAGGGAAAAGATAATGGTCTTAGCAAATGGAATGTTGTGTTAGCAAGTGCTAAGCAAAAGGGAATGTGGATTGTGAAGTGGCCTAAAGGTCAGTTGCCAAGGGGAGGGGTGTTGATTCAATAACTTGATCAGACATAACATGCAGAAGCTTTTCAGTCTGACAGTCCCATTCATTTTTTACCTTTACTTTCGTTGCCTTTGGGTCAAATTCATAAAATCCCCTTTAATACCAAGATCCATAAGTATAGTACCTATGTTTTCTTCTATGTAACTTACTGTTTCAGGCCTTATATTTAGACCTTTGATTCATTCTGAGTTATTTTTGTATATGGGAACAAACAGCAGTCTAGTTTCATTCTTTTGCATGTGGCTTTCCAATTTTACCAGTACCATTTATTGAAGAGGCTTTCTTTTCTTCATTAAATGATTTTAGCTTGGTTGTCAAATATTATTTGCCCATATACATGTGGGCTCTCAATTCTGGACTCTCAATTGTGTTCCATTGGTCTATATGTCTATTTTTCTACCACTACCATGCTGTTTTGATTTTTTAACTTTGTTCAGGATCACTTTGGCTATTTGGGGTATTTTGTGGTTTCATGCAAATCTGATTTTTTGTTCTATTTCTTTAAAAATGCCATGGGATTTTTTTTTAATTTTATTTTATTGTTTAAAGTATTACAAATAGTAGTACATATGTCTCCTTTTTTTTCCCCATTGACCTTCTCTCGCCCTCCCCTCCCCG